TTGGCAAGAGGGAAAACCTATGCAGTCCTCCCTCCCATGACCTGTTGGATATCAATCTTTTCCGTACAAACAGATAATGAACATGGAAACTTGAAGTCAATTGGAGACAAGAAGGAAGGAGTTTCACTGATAGGAACCTGCATTCATAAAAACCTATTTACCAATCAAGGGAGTCAAAGACGCTCTCAGGGTTGCTGCTGATAGTCATTTATGACAACTTTCAAGGGAACTTGGGAAGAAAAAACCGAATTAATATGTACAGTGTAACATTGCCCTTCATCCACATCACACTTCTCAAGAAGGCAGGTAGATATATTGTTGTGCTTTTGCAGATAAAGATTTAGAGGCATAGAAGGGTTATGTCAGTTACTCAAGATTGAGATCTAGCAAGGTCTGGGGCCAAGAACGCTCTCATTATACTGTTCTCTTTTGATTAAGTGTGAAGTTATAGATTGAGAGAAATACAGAATTTTGAGAAAAAGAAAATAGTAAAATCAGTGAATACCTCAACTAAGGTAGAGCTTAAACATGATTTACAGAATTTGCTCAGCTAGAAATTAGGCAAATCCACATGTACATAAATAGCAACATCAAAATGTTTTTTAATGCCACAAGTGTGTGTTCTTACCAGAGAGAGAGTGTGAGAAAGAGAAAAAACACTCTGTAATGGGTTGTGGTCACTCTGCAATTTTCCCTTCCATTTCTTCATCCTGGTGGGATTTGGGACCCACATACATAGGTGCCCCATGTGTTTTTCAGGTCACGAGGGTCAGGATTCTAATGCAGTCAGTCATGTGAGTACGTGAAATACGTCTTCCTCCACACAGAACTTAACCACCATGCTAGAGGGAAAAGAAGAGAGAGAGAGAGAGAGAGAGAGAGAGAGAGAGAGAGAGAAAATCTGTGCTTTCTCCTACTGGGATATCCCACAGCTATTCCATGGGCACGTCTAAAAGTTTGGGTCTGGGAATTAAAAATAAAAATAAGTCTGATGAAGATAGCCTACGTCAACGCTAAGGTTGTGTAGTTCCATGTTCTGCCATCTTTCTTTTTCCTTTCCTTTCCTTTTATTTTTTCTTTCTGTTTTTAATTGTCAGAGGGCTCGGGCCCTTGCTAGAGGGAGAGGGAGAGGGATAAAGCACTGCCCAGAAGGGCATGGCCGTGCCATAATTATTTCCTCCCATTCCTCCATCCTGTCAGGAGTTGGTCATACACATGTGCCTGCCTGGAATGTTTTCAAGCCTCCGGGCCAGGATTTGAACTGCTGTCAGCCATGCAGGATCAGACTTTCTATGCAGAGCACTTACTCACTGCACTATGAAAGTGAGTGGACATCTCTGCATTCTGCCATCTTGAAGCAAAATGTAAACAGAGGTGATAATACTTTTGAATTTCTTTTTTTTTTTTGTCTTTCTGGTTGTAAATGTAAGCCATGCATGTGGTGGGATGGAGCATTCTGAACCAGCTTTAGACAGGAATGTTGCCCCATTCTAGAACCCATCTCTTGCCCAATAAGCTCTGTGAACTATAAGTAGTTTCAGATGGTTCTTTTCGACAAAAGCAGAGGAGGGGAGAATGCAACAAGAGAGAAGCAAAATATGGGAGATATTCACACTCTTGTAGGCATTTGAGAACTTGTATTTATTTCATCAAAAATCAGAAAGACATAACACCGAAAATATAAAAAGTGGGCTAATAAGATAGCAATAATCTAAACTTGTGATGGTCTTGAACTCATTTCTCTGTCTTTACAGGAAGGGAATTGGCTTAGAGAACTAAGGAATGAGCTGCCTGAGGTCCATGCTGGGCAAGCTCTTCCTTGAGGTGGGTCTGGGGTCTGTCTTTGCCTGACAAAAGGGTCCTTCCACCCAGCTCCGGCGTTATCTCCTTTCTCAGGTCATTCTCTCCCCTCACATTTCTGCCTTTATGCCATCATTGCTCTTCCACGCAGTGCCTTAGTATGCTTATGGTAACGTAGTCTGCTTCCTGCCTTCTTAGCTATTGCCTCCTTCTAAACATGTCAAATCCTTGAAGACAGAATCTTTTTTATGTTAGTCTTTCCTTACAGAGTCCTTGGCACAAAATAAGTACCCAATATGTGAGAAACTCAAGAGAGATTTATGGAAGAAGGATTATCATTCCATGTCCTCCCTCCAGCTGTGACTGTCCCATGACAAGAGGTGTTTTTTTTTTTTTTTTTTTTTTTTGCTAATTGTCATTTGTCTTTTCATTTTGGAGTTCAACAGCTAGCGCCAGAGAAAGATAAAAAAAAAAAAAGTGGTCTGCATCTTGACTCCAGATTTGAAAAGGCCTGCAGCCTTCATTCTAAGAAAGGAGCAGAAGAAGAACCATTGCCACTGGGATTAAAAACAAAATCGTTCAGGAGATTTGTTTGTTTATATGCTCTGGTGTATGCATGTTTGAAAACAGACAATGGCAGTGAAGTAAGGAATCAAATTCTGAAGGCAAAATGTCATATAACCTACATTCCAAAAATGGCCTATTAATTTCTTCTTTTAGTTACCAACTGCACAGCTTGAGAATATATTTTAAAAATCTGATCTTGTTTTAAACCATTAAAATATTGGAAAATATTTAGACACTGGAAAGTGTCTAAATAGCAGCCAGTTCTCCTTATATTCATGATTATAGTCTCTTCATGACCAGTTTTTTCCGCTGCTTAACTGAGTGCAGTATCATTTCGATTTTGCTACCGACTGATAGTATGTACTAAGAAATGTAAGCAATAAAACTGTCCTTGTCAAGAACTATTCCTGGAGGGGGGTGGCTATATCCTTTTACAGGGCTTAAAAGCTTAAGTTGTAATAATAGAAAGTTGGCTTTTATTTCCTGAAACAATCAAAAGAAAAGAATGGAAGGAAATGAAAGTAAAATCCATCAAGATTACAAAATTAGGACAGAGTTAAGGAAAAATATTTTGAGTACCAGAAGAAATCTAAAATAAATAAAAAATAATAACACATGCATGATATTGCTATTTGACCCAGAAAATTACTTCTAATGTTATATAACTGGAGACTCCTTGAAGAATCTAGCAATGTACTCTTTGGTGGAAGGAGGGGAAACATCTTTCCCAGATACTATCTGGATTCAACCAGCTGGACAAAAGAGAAAATGAACTGATGATTTAGAGAAAGCACTAGAACAAATCTTGGCAGGCTGTCAGAATGGTGAAACTAACAGAATGGAGGAACTAAATTCTTGACAAGACTAGTTGAGACTTGAAGAAGAATATATGTCCTATTATTGATAACCACAGGAAAAGGTAAAATTACAGGGTCAAAGTTGATTAATTAGTAACATCTCCATATCCAGTTGTAACAGTTTCATTGTAAGTTGAACATTTAAAGCCAGGGAGAGTTACCACACATGTTTGAGAATTTCAGGCTTGCAGAGAGTAAGATAAAATCTGAACCTTGGTATATGACCCAGAATTCCTAGGAGACATGTTTAAAAATTTCAACAGGGGGCTAGCTATGTGTCTTGGTGGCTAAGGCAGCTGGATCCCATATGGCAGTCCATAGTTTGAATCCCAACCCTGGGGGTTGAAAAACATGCCAGCCATGTGTGCCTCCATGCCCAGAATCCTGACAGGATGGAGAAATGGAGGAGAAAAGATTGAGGAATGACCATTCTCCATGGGTAGTGCTTTCTCCTTCTCCTTTTCTCTGTCTTTCCCTCTCTCTCTGACAAACATGTCCACTCTCTTGCAATAAAAATTTTAAAAGTTTGACATGGCTGGTAAATTGGTCAAAGGGACAGTGGTCCAATACATCTAGTTAACAGTAAGAATAAAAGCTCAGGGAAACTTGCCTTGTTGGTGTGTTTGTAGACGTCAAGGTAATTATACGTTTATAAAAGTCGTCATGATTTTTAGTTCATCTTCTACCTATATAGTTTCATGTAACAAATCTTCAAGATAGAGTATGAATTGTAGGAACCTCTTAGAGTCATTGCTTAAGCTCTACTATTGTATCTCTCCTAAAGGTTATATTTTAAGAAAATTTCTACCTATTTTAGGCATTTGTTTTATTTTGTCACTTAACAGTAAGGTCCTCTTTTCTCCCTGGATCTGCCCTTTGCAGATTTTCTAAACCTTTTTCCAGTTCCAGATCCTCTTGAGACCTAAATAAACTCTCTCCAGACAAACATTCCTGTGCCTATGTGCCTGTGCATTGCATTTGTGCACATACACACACACACGCACACACACACACACACACACACACTCATATATGCATGTCCATATTGAAAGATGTGCATACCATTGTATGGATTTGTTGATTCCATGCTTCCAACTGTGGGTCCCTGGTTAGGATTCCTGCTTTGTTGACTTGTATCATTCTGGCCTTGGACAACAATATTAACAGGGGCAGACCTGCCCCTGTGCATCCTGTTCCTTTGCAGGGAACACCTACGAAGTATCTGGGTGCTCCCAGTGTAGCTTTAGATGACAAGCTGACAGCTCTTCTTTCGTTCATTCCTCTTTAGAATGTCTATAATTGCTCTATATCCCTTTTCATCTTTACTCAAATGATCTCTGTTGGCAATGCTCTAAACATTCATATAATTTACAATAATATTTTACCAAAGCACAAAGGTTTGAGTTTGCCTCTGAGCGAATTTCTTCCTGGAAGATCCTTACTGTGTTTTCTATGGCAGAAATGGAATTTGGAAGGTATAAAAGCATGAAAAGCAAGTGTGGATCCCATAGATAGTGTGGGAGGAGGGTGGGAAATAGGAGGTTGGTGGGTGGGAGGAGGGAAATCAAGAAAAAAAGGAAAAAAAGGAGCAAAACAGTCAATGGACACAGAAATGAAAAATTATCCATTGATCACAATGTGAATGGAAATTTCTTTGACTGGGCTAACAGTGTATTCATAGTGGGAAAATTCCTTTTCTATGTGGTTAAGGTACATAGTGATTGAATGTAAAAGATTAGAAGGCAAAAAACAAAGTGGAGACCATGTGAGGGTTACCTGGCAAAAACAGTTCTCTTTGGAGCTTTGCTCTGGCCTGCTGGGAAAAGCATCTTTTCTTCAGCCAATCAGCTTCAAATTCACTGCAGTGTTCATCTGGCCATATGATATACACCTTTTATAAAACAGAAAGCAAATGTCACCACTATGTGTATTATATACCCATGTGCTTAGTTATTCCCTGTTGCTCTGTCTGTAAATGTCATGTGAGATAACCAGGTAATCCAATTAGCCTTTGCTTTTTTAATTACTATTCTTTTTAAAATATAAACTTAAGATTTTGGGTAACAAGGAAACTACAAGCCAAAGGGATACATCTGAGGACTGAGGCCTCTAAACAGCAGGCAAGAAATAGCATCTGGTTAGACCTGAAGTTCTTGTCCTATTCCAATCCTGTGGTCCCCAAAGTTTTTGTAATGACTCAAGCTTGGTTCCTGCCAAGAATATTCAAAATAATAATGATGATAAGGAAGAGGACAGTGATAATTATAAAAACAATCCCATGTGAAGTGCTTATTTCATGATGAGGGTGATAGCCAGAAGTCACATAAGCCTTTGTGACAACTCCAGGGAGAAAGTGATACTATTCTCCTCATTGTCACGTAAGGAATGAAAGATTACATGATGTTTTTAAGGTCACACAGGTGAAAGCTGGGTAAAGCCCTCAAGCTGAGATGAGAACAAGAAAGTAGTAAGAATCATAGTAAATTGGGCAGGGAGAAGCACAGGATGGTGGCCGCATCGTGCTTGTGGTTTTGAGAGCTATGCTTTTGAGAATTCCAAAACAAGTCTCGCACATCTACCCACTAATTAGTCAATGCTATTTTTCAAGTGCTCACTCTGTGCCAGGCACAATGTTAAACATCTTTACCTGTTTTCTCAGTGGATCCTTACAACATGTCTATGAGCATGTCCTGGTAATATCTGTTTTACAGATGAGTCACCTAAGCCTCAGAAACATTGCTCTTACTGTGGAAATAGCTTGTGTCTTCAAGGTTGCCACTCACTGAAAGAGTGATGAGCAACACTGCAAATTCTATGACAAATCATGGTAGCTGTAAGAATAGTAAGAAGAACAGCAGAAGCTTCTGTTACTGGGTATGCTTAATTTGCACCCAGCACCATGCAGACATGACTCTATGTACAGTAATACTTATGGTCCCAAAGAAAACAGTTATTTAAATGATTGAAGTCTAGCTGCTTTAATTAACTTGGGAGAGGAGAGGAGAGGAGAGGAGAGGAGAGGAGAGGAGAGGAGAGGAAAAGAATTACCTTTTCCCCGTCAGTCGTCAAGCCTTTAATGCCAATGTTCACATCAAGAGCTTCGATGAGAAGTTTTCGTGCTTTTGCAGAATCCAGGTAGCAATCCGAGCACTGGCAGTTGTCTCTCAGCCACACGGCTGGGTAGAGAGACTCTGCACCATCGTGCCAGAGGAGCTGCAGTAAATGAGCCCCATCCAGTACTTCTGCCTTTTGGATGGCACAATGCATGTTTCCAGTTTTCAGGGGTATGAATCCCGTCAGATTGCTGTTAGGACAAACCAGTGTTAAAAGGACTTTCAGGCAGATCGGATCTGAACTTGACCTCTAAGAATGTGAACAGTTCAGGGGGACTCTGGTCTCTGCTATTCACTAAGTTGCTAATCTGCAGATCGATTTATTGACTCTGGGACCTTTGTTCCAGAGAGAGTGTCTCCTATGTTGTATGCAAACAGAAACACAGTGACATAAAGAAAAGTACTGAGTCAGGATCCACATGGAAAGGCTCCTTTCTTTTTTTTTTTTCTCACAGGAATTCCCGATAAGTTCAGAACCAATGTCATATGTACCTTCATGTTTGCAGAAGCCTGGGATTTTTTTTTTTAAGGGACAAAAACGATAGATAAATTAGAAGTACAACAGTCATATCTGTACTATTTTAACTGATGCCTAATTGCACATGACTTTTGAAGCAAATGAATCGATAGCATAAATTAGTAAACTCGCTCTACCAATAGGAATAGTAATAGAATTTACTATATTTATTTTAAGGGGTACTGTAATTCAGAACAGTGCACTATTTCTGTTGTATCATTTTTGTTTTTACTTTTACACTTTTTCAATGAAATATCCAAGTTCCTAGCTTTGTCAGGATCAAATGCTTATCAAATATCAGTATCTGTCCATGTCTGTCTTCTCTTGCTTAGGGTAAACGATCAAACTTCTGAGACATAACAGGATCCACTAAGGCATTAACCTCTAGGTTAAGGATCAATACTAAGGTATTGGCCTCTAGGTAAAGGATCAGCAACTGCTCAAAATGAAAACATATAAACTGTACGGGTATATGTGTGTTAAGGGTGTGTACAACACCATTAACTTGGCAATTACTGTTTTAATGACCCAGGTCATACTTTTTTGCAATCCCCTTATTTTATCCCCTAGAAAAACCCTATCACCTTCACTTTCCAGGTGACCTTAAGCTTGGCAGGGGGAGCAACTGACTTAAATGTAGAGCAAATAAGAAGTTTAACATACTTCGACGTCATGGAAAATGTATGGCTGAATAATTTCTAGGTAATAATTTCAATGGACCAAAAATACACCTTTAAAATAGTAGCTAAATTTCAAGATCATTAGTTATTAGTTAACTTCATCATCTAACATGTCGACTTTGGAGGGAGAGGCCAGAAAGAAGTTTTCCAGACATTACGCCATAGAGGCTTAAAAAACATTACTCTTCTTTTATATTTCAAGCTTTAAATCATAAAACTTAATTAATTTCCATTTGGTAAGGTAGAAGTTGACTGTATCAGTGGTGCCTGAACTTTAATATCATTTGAATACATACATACTCTCCTCATGATATCGGCCTTTCTGCTTGGCAAGTTTTTTTTAATTTAATTTTTTTTCTAGTATTAACTTTTTAACTTGATTTAATAAGTGGCTAAGATACCTAATGATTTGTAACTAGATCCTCAAGTGAATAATGAATTCTATAAAGCTGTTACAAAAACTGGTCCATTCTGTTGAGTATGCTCACTGTTCTGCCTGCTTTTTATTTAAAGTATCAAATTTCATGCAAATAGTTTCTTCATAAATTATACAAAGTAAACATTTAGCTTTACTCCATTGGAATGACTACATTTAGATCGGAACTCAAATTATCTAGACATTTATTTACTGATACAATGCACAGTGCTGGATCTAGATTTCAGGAAAATTTCTAAATTCTTTGAACTAGAACACGTGTTTGTTATGTGAAATCTTATGTTTTTACTGAAATCAATTCAAAATACCTGTAATATGGAAAGTGTTTTCTTGAGCTTCATTAAGGGAACAAGACAATTGAATGTGCGTACAGTGGCCTTAACTACCTAACATTTTAAAGAGAAGTTCTGTATTGGGCTTAACAAAGAGCCAGGGTCACCTTTCTTTGGGTTGGGTCATGAAATATTTAGGGGACATTTTGAAAATCCAGCCAGAACCTCCTTCCCACATCTCCAGTCTGCTCTTTAGATAGTATCCTCTCCGTCCCCTTTGTATATGTTCTAGATCATTCTAGGGATTGCAAAGTAGTTTGATTACCAGACTTAGCCAAACATAATTGGGACAGGGAAGATGCTAGGAAGCAATTAGATCCACTTGTTCCAAAAGTGAGCTTCCAAATGCCAGAACAACCACCCCCATCTCAGCTACATGGCTACGGTGTACATGCGACTATAGTTCTGATTAGATGTTTCCCTTACCCCCCATCCACAGCCCTGAGTCCACATGCACTAGGGGAAAGGGGAAGTTGGGCCCAGTCATACCTGTTCTCAGGTATGCTGTGGGCACCAAACCACAGAAAACTTACCAAGTAAAGAAATGTCAGTTGTGTGCCTAAATGTCCGTTAGGGAGGGAGCCTACTGGTGCCTGTCACATTCCAGGATTGATCTTCCCCCAGTTTCCAGCCCGATGTGGTTCTTTTTCTTGGAAACCTTTCCTGCTCCTGGAAGCTCTGCCCCTAGACACAGCTGAGGTTTGCAAACGAGGAAGGCTGTCTCAATCTGAAGGTGTAGCTACTCCTGAAGGGACCTGGGAGGAAAAAGAAAAGAAACAGAAAGGAAAAAGTTTTTATGGCCTGTAGGGGAGGCAATTTTCAAGAGAAAATGCTTTGCTCTAGGATCCCAAAGACACAAAACCCTGGGACTCAAGGCAAAACATTGCAGTTTAGAATCTTCCCTGATAGAAAGAAAAACAGTTCTCACCTGCCTTGCATCCTGTCTCTGTGCCAGTAGCAGCAAGAGCCAGTGAACAAGTTCTTTCACTTCTCTCCCACCTGTCCCCAGCGACAGATCTTTATTGCAAAACTCGCCTGGAGAAGAGGCACTAAGATGCGCATGAAGAGGGAGGAGGCACTGACTCTCACCTGAGCAGAGGTGAGGCGGCATCTACTTGCCCATAGACTATTCCTTATGAGCCTCTTTGGAGGGAGCTTGATTAGTTTTTAAAGGGCTGGTAGGAAGACTAGGATTGAACCCCTGAGCCTAATGCCCTCCGCCCTCTGCAGTTGTATAGAATAAACAGTAGTTGCCAAAGAGAATGGTTTTTTTTTAAAGGTAGGTGGTTGCCCAGTGACTTAACTCATAACACACATTCCTTAGGGCAACAAAAGGGAAAGGCCAGAGTGGGCAGCATGCCAGAGATCCAGCATCTGGTGGCCAGGCATTCACTTGGGGAGTGCTCAGTGTAGGGGGAGGACTTGCTGGTCAGTCTCAGGTCCTAGCTTCAGATAGTATCTAGGTTGTATTAAAAGAGAGTCTGCAGGTGGTAAGCAAAGGCCAGGAAAGAGATGCAGGAGTCCTCTGTTTTCCTTCCACCAACACCACCCTTCCCAGGAAGAGGCAGAGTCAGCCTCAGCCTGCAACTTGTTGACTCTTGCCCGAAGGACTCACATGGCTGGGAGACACAGAGAAAGGAACAAAAGAGCTAACCATGGAGAGAAACGCAGCTCAACTCCCAGTGGCCTCCTCCTCTATGGTTTTTGGCTTAGGATAACCTCTCCCTTCTGGGTCTGTAATGCCCCCTCCCTCAATAATTTCCTGTGAGCTCCTTTCACAGTGAAATGTAAACTGTCCTCACATGTGTGGTCCCTTCCTCCACCCCTTCCTTCCCCAAGTCTCCAGGTCAGATTACCGACACCCAGTGTCCAGTGGAAACAACAGCAGGTTTTGTTTCCCATGTAGTATATGCGGAGTGCCTTCAGGAAGCAATCAGTTCATTATATTGTCACAATGACAGCAGAAATACACATGACTGTTTTTTATGTCACACTTTGTGCTTTAGCAACAGTTACTGGGGAGGTGAATTTGACTCTAAGAAAATTGTTTAAAAAGATGTGTTGAATATACAATGTTTATAATGCTATGAGCTAATAAAACAAAACAATGAACAAACCAACAAACAAACCTGTTGAGAGTTAAAATTTAACTGCACATGAAGAACCAACTCCTTTATTAAAAACTAATAGGCAAACAAACAAAACTTTGTTCTTCACTGTAAGAAGCCTCTTAAACAAGGATAGAAATGTAGCTATCTCTTCAATGTACTGATTTCATATTCTTTGACTATATTACTAAAAGTGAGATTGCTGGAACCAGCAGTTAGCGTAATGGCTATGTCGCTGGACTCCCACGTAGTCAACCGCGGTTCGCGTCCCGAACCCAGTGGCTTAGAACTCACGCTGGGCACATGTGCGTGCGTGCCCAAGATCCCGAGAGGAGAATGGAGGAGAAGGGATTGCGGTGTGACCATCCCCTCTGGGGGGTGATTTCTCACTTTCTGTCTCTATGTCTCTGTCTGTCTGGTGAGCACACACGCCGTAAAGCAAAAAAAAAATAAAAATAAAAAAAAACCTCTCCAAAAAAAAAAAGTGAGATTGCTGATCATTTAGTAGGTTTATTTTTAATTTTTCGAGGAACCTCCATTCTGTGTTGCATGATGGAAATGGACACTTCCATCACCGTGTACAAAGGTTTTCTCTTTACAGACTCAGCAATACTTGATATTTTTATATTTTTTTGACAATAGCTATTCTAACAAGAGTGAGGTGTTGCCCTGTGGTGGTTTCAGTTTGTATTTCCCTGATTGATTTTTTTTTTTTCATATACCTGTTGGTCATTTCTATGTCTTCTTTGGATAAATATCTATTCTGATTCTTTACCTATTTTTAATGAAGTTACTTGTTTTCTTGCTATTGAGTGGTTGAGTACCTTATGTATTTTGGATATTAACCCCTTATTAGATACATGGTTTGCAGATATTTTCTTTTGTTCTATAGGTTATCTCTTCACTCTGTTGATTGTTTCTTTTGATGTGCAGAAGCTATTTAGTTTAATGAAATTTGATTTGCCTAGTTTTGCTTTTGTTGTCTGTGCTTTTTGGATCATATTAAAGAATTCTTTGGTCAGATCAATGTTACTGCAGCAATATTCATAATAGTTAAGACAGGGAATCAACCTAAATGTTCTTCAACTGATAAATGAAGAATGTAGTGTGTGTGTGTGTGTGTGTGTGTGTGTGTGTGTGTGTGGATATATTCCAGATTATGGAATAAAATTCAGCCATTAAAAGAAAAAGGAACTCTTGTCATTTGCAACATTATACATGAGCCTGGAAAACATTGTGCTAAGTGAAATAAACCAGACACAAA